CCCTTCCAGCTCGCCAGCCGAGCCCACTTCGAGAGGGAGCCCCCCCGCCCCTCTTTTGCCTTCGCCGCCGGTGCAGCAACAGCAGAAGCGCCGCCGCGTTTGGTTCCCGCCCCTCCAACCCTCTTCCACTCCACCACCGCAGCCAATCCGGGCTGGCTATCCCAGCAGGAAAAGCAACTGCCATGGAAACAGCATCCACAGCTCCTCGGAGGAGCAGCAACGCGCCCAGAAGGCTGGCGGGGGCACGTCCGAGGCCCCTGTCCCAGCGAGGAGGAGGAGGAGGAGGAGGAGGGCTGGGTCCTGACAGGGCCGGGGCTCAGGAACAGCTGCAACAGCCTCAGCTGGGGGAGTCTTCTGTGGCTGCGTTCCCTGAAAGTTGCATCAGGACCGGTCAAAGGAGCCGGTGCTGTGCAAGCCTGACCATTCCCTTGACCCCCGCAGGCTGCACAGAATGGCTAGGGCCGGGGCCGAAGGCTGCCTGGAATGCGGCCAACCGTGGCTTGTCTTCAGAAGCACCCAGGAAGGCTGGATTCCGTTGCTGCCTGCTTTAGCGCAGGCCTGAGGACTCAGCCTTGGGGCATGGCGAGGGGGACCAGCAAGAAGGGACACCCGCTGTACAAAAAAAGGGGCCAGAAAGAGCAGGAATTAGGAATGCAAGAACAGCCTGAGGGACTGAGCAAGCCCAAAACTGCCGTGAGGAGAGTCATGGCGGGAATGGAGAATTCCGAGGATATTAGCATGCTTGTTCCCAAGAAATGTGATGGAGTGGTTGTGTATGTAAAGAAGCCACATGCCTGTGAAATGTTTTTGCAAGTGCCTGGGCACAATAACAAGGAGTAAGAAGCAACAGTGGGAGTTTACTCTGGGCCACCCCCTGAGAGAGGATGTGGATGGGGCTTCTAAATTAACCACCAAGCCCTGGAAACAGGAGACTGCAAGTGTTCCAGTATCTGCTGGAAAACTAATTCAGCCAGGGGTGAGGAAGTGTAGGCCAGAGGCTGTAGCAGTCGCTTCAGTTTTCAGCTGTTGAACAAGCACACCTGAATGGTGCTTGTCAATGGTCCTGCACTGTATTGGAGGGAGGTGTGGCAGGGTTACCCAGCGCTCCGTTCTAGCAAGGATGGAATGGGACAGATGCTTATCAGATTTGCAGGGGACATCTAGCTAGGGCGATTGGCCATAGTCTTATAGGGAAAAAAAACCACAGTTCAAATCAACTGGTATTGAACATGTCAGTGTTATCGAAAATAGAGTTGCCAGTGTGGTAATGCTCTTATATAAATCAATAGTCATGGCTAGGAAATCAATAGGCAGTCGTGGCTAGAAGGGCCTTTGCGCAACTTCGTGTTGTGCGGCAGTTACGGCCCTTCCTCGATCAGGAGGCCTTCCGCACGGTCACTCATGCCCTGGCCACCTCCCGGTTGGATTACTGCAATGCGCTCTACATGGGGCTACCCGTGAAGAGTATCTGGAAGCTACAGCTGGCGCAGAATGCAGCTGCGCAGACAGTTCTGAATGCCCCCGGGGGGGCCATATAACACCGCTGTTATGCGAGCTGCATTGGTTGCCGGTTTGCTCCCGAGTCCAATTCGAGGTGTTGGTTATCACCTTTAAAGCCCTTCATGGCACAGGACCAGGTTATCTGAGGAGCCGTCTCACCCCCGTTATATCAGCCCTCCCCACTCGGACCGGCAGAAGGGGCATGTTGCAGATCCCACCAGTCAAGGAATTTTGACTGGTGGGATCTG